CTTACGCTTGCTAGGGAAGCACTTTTTCTACTGAGCCATTTCCCCGGCCCCTACTTATTTTTATTGTAGAAACTTGTTTTCTACCAATGTTGTCTCAGTTACTCTTGTCTCGTTGCTGGGACAAATATTTGATACCCAAAATTAGAGAAGGAAGGTTTATTTAGCTCACAGTTACTGGAGGTTTCAGTCCATACTTGGCTGGCTCCAAGACAGAATGGCACAGGGCAGAGAGCATCCATTCATGGCCAAGGCAAAGAGCAGAGACCAAGAGGCATGGCAGCAGCTCAGGCAGCTAGGCAGGCTCTCTTCCCTATTATGTTGTAATGCAAACTACCTGCTCAGGCAGTTGCAGCACTCAAACACACAGTAATCATGGACTCCTAAAGCCACCCCATGACTGCAGGAAGCTTTGGGGGCACAACTAGACACAAACCATAACAAAAGTCTAGCTGGAATTAATGAATAAAAAACACATTCCAGAGTAAGACACATGGTAGGGGCTAAGAAAGGGCTGAGACATAATCAATGCATAATAAAAGTTTGTCAATTTTTTAATATCACTTAAGCAATATCACAGCCTTCTAGTTATTATGCACTGAAAAACAACTGAAGCATCAATACCCACATTGTTTTCCTTCAAATAGCAGCAGATGGAATTACATGAAGTTAAACCCTAAATGTGGCACAAAATATTTTGTAAGAACCACTTGAAATGAATAAATCTTATTCAATTATTTTTATACATATTTACAGAAAAATTTTTTTAGAAAATTACCTATGGAATTATCTGGTCCTTTTGACTTTGTATATGACAAAAATGCAGCTAGAAAAAAGATAGATGACAAAAGTTCTGCTCTTCCTACAACACCTGTCACCTAGGAAAGTAAAGAAAGGGAGGATCATATTAATGAACAACATTTCAAACTTAGGTATAATAGTAAACAACACTTTAACTTTAAAGTTATTAACATTTCAAGAGAATATTTCTTTAACATTCATTGGGTGCCCCCAAGTGGTGATTTTATGTATCTCTGATAATTGGGAATTTATCAAAGACTTGTTTTAACAGTTCTAATTACTGTTTTAACTTATTCTGAAATAATTATAGATGCACAGGAAGTTGCAAAAATAGCACAGAGACACTGCATATTCTTCACCCAGATTCAGGCAATATCATCCATATTTATAGTACTTTTTTTTTTTTTTTTAGAATCAAGGACTGAACTCAGGCCCTTGCACCTGCCAGGGAAGGGCTCATTCCACTGAACCATCTCCCTGGCCCCAATAGTATTATTCTTAGAAGAACTGTTATAAACAAGAAAAAAAGCCTAGGGATCTTTCTTAAAAGTTTTCTTAAAAAGAGCATTCTCAAAATACAAGAATATCACAAATTCAGTAAATTATATCTTATAATTAATCTGAAAACTTAAAAAAGACAATAAACTTTAATAGTCCCTTTAATTTAAAAAATTCAAATAAAAAACTCCCAAAATTATTCCTCTAAAGTATTTTGAACTTAATGCAGAATGAAGAACAACCTACTGTTTCTGGAAATATTTGGAAAAATTCTTCGGCTAGAATATCACCGGCCCCAAGACAACTCCTCCAAAACACAAAAACATGTTTCTGTTTATGAAAAAGTTTGCAATAAAGCAATGGGATAAAATACCCTTAGCTCTGCTAAGAGGCAGCTATGGAGTTTCAAGGTTATTTTCTGTGTCTTGTAGGAAGTGACTGAAAATAGCAGATAGCTCACAATTTTAAATCATGTGGCAATAGACAATTTAAAAAACATGTAACAGAGTATCATCATTTATTCAATATGGCTCCAAATATTTTGATGTATTTTTATCCTTCAGTTACATCTGCCTTATTATCTATCCTTTGAAACATAAACACTGACAGTCTCACAAATACTTAAAATCTGCATGGATGCAAAATAATTAGCAAGTTGGGCAGTGTGGTGCACATCTGTAATCGTGATTCGTGGGAGGTGAGTTCAAGGCCAGTCTACACAACTTAGTAAGATCCTGACTCAAAATAAGATTTACAAAATACAAGTAGTGATACAGCTTAGAAGTACAGTGCTTGTCTATCATACAGAGGTCCCTATGATCAATCTCCACTACCAAAACAACAAAACCATTCTCAAAGAACTCAATTATTTATATTTCATACTATGAAAGTGAAGGGATTATACGTACTTTATGCTCTTCAAGGTTATGTTTCAAAAACTAGTTTAAAAAGGTTATGTTTCAAAAACTAGTTAAAAAATGCAGGAGAAAACTGCATGAAGGACTTAAGACACTAAAACTGAGAGTTTTTAAGTATTTGGAAAAAAAGCATGGACTTTTATTTTTTTAATATGTACCAGCCACTGTAGGCTTTTTTAAAACATAAAGATTTAAAATATTAATTAGTGCTTTACTTACTGCTTCTGTATGTATTGGGTGCACTGCAAAAAGCAGAGCAGCAATCACACCACTCTTGTTGTCTAGGAAAAGTCTGCAGACTTTAAGAAACAGCACACTAACCATAGCATGAAAAATCATATTTAGGAGATGATACGACATTGGTTTTAATTCACTAAACATATAATTTAAGCGAAATGTCAGTACTGTTAAAGGTCGGTAGGACTTGTGGCTTCTTTCCTACAAGGAAGAAAAAGCACTGATTATTAAAGTAACTTGGTCCTTCAGGGCACAAAAGCCAGTTATTGTTTTTACTATGAAAATATCTGCATTTGGCTGTAAATAATAATAAAGTAATGAAATACCCCCAAAATAACAGAAACACAGAAGAGCATCACAATCTATAGGCTTATGATGTTTTTGTTCTCTTGTTACAAAAACAGGAGAATCTGTCCCTGATATGTGATGGCCAGATAATTCACCAGAGGATCTATCCAAAGCCAGCCTTCTTCTATTACCAATGATAGAGTTTATGTAACTGCTAGGTAAAGCTTCACAAGGAAATCAAGAACAGAATGCTTATCAGATCAGTTCAAATAGTGATGACTCAAAAAGATACTCCCTAGTTATTTTATGTTTTATCCATAATGTATAAACATGTATATATTAAAATAAAAATCTCCAAATACCAAAGAGGAATATAGCTGTAAAAGCTTATTCAAGATATGAAAATAAAAACTTTTGGTTGTAGGATTTTCTTTTAACAATAAACCAAGTTTCAGGTGAAGTACTGTTTATAACTTTTAAGTCACATTACAAATACTTTTAACCCAAAAGCAAAGTCAAACTGGATTTAAAATTAAAATTCATAGTTTAATAAAATATCACCCTATTGAGTTTATTTGTGGTCATACATAAAAGGCACCGACACTCAAATTCTTTGTTCTTCTACCTCTAATCGTATTTTGGTGTTACTCTCTGGCACACAGGTATAGATCTAAGCCTGTTCTTCCTTATGGGGGAACATCAGGAAACAAAAGGATAAAATATTTTTCATTTTGAAATATGGAAGATTTCAATATCTTTTTTTCTGATTACATATATGATGTATCACTTATTTAAAAAGATCTTTCCTATTTAGTCAATTCTAGCACATACTTCAAATTTCATCTCAGGAACACTAAATTATTTTTAAGGCACTCTACAAAGCTGCCATATTTTATACTAGAAAACAGATGGTAGAGACCTCCTGATTCCCTGAACTGTTACTATTAACTCCACTGGGATATGTTTTTTCAGGTGAAAAGACAAAACAAACATAGAAAGAAATACACCTTATAGTGCACACAATTGCTTATTTAGTTCTACTACATGTACATATGTCAAAAGTAATGAGCAACTAAAAAAAATAGATTAATATAATTATTTTCAGAATTCATTAGGACTCTAAGACTCCAGACACAATTATCAGCTGGTTATATCAGGTTTGCTCTGGAAAACATAGTAATACAGCTAGGTCTATTATGAAGATAATAATTCAGATCATTATCATATATAGGTAATTTAAGAAAAACTTCATTACTCGTGATATTAGCTGACACTGAGAACAATCATAAACATAACTAATGAGTAACAGTTCCATGCTCCTCAATATAAGGATGGCAAAAATACTTTCGCAGAACATCACTTAATAAAAAGTTCTTTTTAGGCCATATATCAGAAAGGCGCCGCCATGGCTATATAAGAGAATCAGCTGGAGGACTTAAAAAAACAAACTACTGTGCTGTGGAGATAGCTCAGAGGTTTAAGTGTCTGCCTGGCAAGTGCAAGATCACAAAAACAGAAAGAAATTTCTATTTCAATCCCCAGTAACCCCCACACCGGGCCCAGAAAAAGAACAACTTTACTCCATATATAATTTCCCCCAAAATGACAACCTCCAAAACAAGACATAAAACATGGATGTCCACATCCCACTCTGAGGAATGAGCTGATGTAGTAGGTTAGCATAGAGCTTTAATAATGATTTTTTAAAATGTCTTGCACAGATTCTACTCTGCAGCCAGGGTTGTCATCTACTGAAGTATCAACTGACAGTGTATTGGCTATCTACAGAATGGAATTATGAAAGAAATAATATAGGGGCTGGGGAGATGGCTCAGTGGAATAAGCGCTTCCCTGGCAAGTGCAAGGGGCTGAGCTCAATCCCCGGTTCTGGAAAAAAAAAAAAAAAAAAGAAAAGAAATAATATAGACACTAAGAGGCCCACAGTTGTACAAAGATCCCTAATATGGCAATATTCATATGACTTAGAAGAATGTCTAAGGCCAAGAGGTCCCTATAGGATGCACAATGACCAAAAATCCACAAAAGAAACATACACTAATACATGAAAATGAACACGAACACACACACACACACACACACACACACACACACAGGATTTCAGGATATAATTACTTGATGATATCAACCATTAGATCTCTGTGTTAATTTTAGGCTTACTGCTAAACTTCCTGATAATATTATTTATACTTTTTTCTTAATCTCACATTCACTTCTTGCTATCCTCTAGTTTGATCATTTGTTCTGTGAATATATTAATGATGCCTTTTCTTTGTAGCTTTGAAAAAATAAAATTTCAGTCTACAAAGTTGAGAAGAAAAATCACAAAAGAGTGCTGACACCACAATATGCTACCTTTGCAGGACAATCTTTAATCTTGGCTGCTAAACTTTTAGATCAAAATCTTAATGTGAATGACTAAAATCACAACAGATACTAGTACAGGTTGGGGGAATGCACATGTATTCTTACAAGTCTTTGGAGGACAAAGGAAGGCGTATATGATATACAGCAACAGGGCTATGTTTTCTCATTATTAAAATATTTTGTTTTCTAAAGGGTGATATCAGGAAGGTTGTGTAAAAATAAGGTCATTTATTTAATAAGAATAAAGTAAATAAGTCACATGTGCTTATGACTAAAAGAATGAAAGATCTTATCCCTACCCTGGAGAAGCTTCAAATCTGAGGAATGAAGAAAGAGGTAACAAATCATGACTGAGAAACAAAGCACTAATGTATCCCATGTTATGGTTCAGTAATAACTTTAAATCTGCCTGTTTATACACCATAGAAATCATTTGTCACCTCAAATCTGTATTTTCACTGTATTTAAAAGCTAATATATGACAGAACTAACCTTAGAATACATATGATTCCAAGTTGACAAGGTTTCACCCATAAGTAACAGTTTAACAATGACCTTCAAAATAAAGTTTCAAAGGAGAAAGATACCCTCAGAAAAAAGATCAAAACTTTCGGGTTTTGTTCAACATTGTTACCAAAATACTACCTGAGAGACATGCCATTTTAAGTTTTTAACAAACTACTTTATTTCCTCCTACAGAAAAACTCACAATATAGGTACTTAATATTTTTACCTCTAATGTCTAATATATTTAAGTTGTATTTTCAAATGGCTAAATATATCAGTCATCTCCTGTGACTCACAAGACAGAAAAAAATTACCAAGAAACAGACTTATATTTCATTTGATTTTTTTAAATGAACTTTATTCTTTAAAAAGTCAACATACCAGCCAGGAAAAGAAGCACTGCTTTAAAGATAATTACATCACTAACTTCCCTTTCAATTTATCACAACTATCTTGTATAACAAGTATTATTTACCTCAGACATAGGAGTTCCCCAAAAATCATTCTGAAATAAGGTTTTTAAAGGTGTAGATGGATGCAGATCTTTATTATCCAGTATTGCCGAAACATCATCAAAAACAAAACCACAGAACAGGCTGTTCCAGTAGCAGGCAGTAACCACACCTATTATTAAGGTTACTTCTTTGAGGTTAATATCAGCCATCTTTTCTGTAAGTACCTATGGACAAACCTGGGGGAAAAGGGAAAATGAAATAAACATTTTTCTCGAGTAAGTAAAATAATAAAATTTTGGTAATTAAAATAAAGGATGTGACCGCAAAAAAAAAAAAAAAAAAAAAAGTTAAAATAAAGGATGTGTTTCATAAAAAAGTTCCGCCCAAATTCATCCACTTCTAAGAAACATTAATAATTTCTTAATATTCCCAAAGCAAACTGAACTGTCTCAATTAATTGTTCTTCAAATGTGCCCTTATACAGTTCTTGAATATACTGTTTAAAACAAATAGCATGACATGCTGCAGGACAGTCTAAAAGAATTTTATTTTGGAAAACAAATACTATATATACATACACATAAGCTATACTAATCTACATTTATGACAATTTGTTACAGCAGCAACAAACTAATATTTAGCAGTTAGAAGATCTGAGCTATGAGATACACTCGTGCAGTTATGGCCAGATCAAAGAGGAAGAATATGAAATAAAATAAAAATTCTGTTCAGCAGTAAAAAGTCCTACCTATACAGAGAGTACATGTATTTTTAAAATATCAAAGGTAAAATTTATGTAAGATGTATATAAGACTATTTAATACATGAGGAAAAAGTATCTCTATAAGCAATTAGAAGACCACAGAACATTTTAGACATTTAAAGAATTGTAAACCCCCATCAAAAAATACAGGAGTGAAGACAACTATATCCTTCAGAAGTACAGTTCTCAACTAAAAGAAAAATTTTATAAGGGCTCATCTTGAATCCAGAACCCATTATCATCATGGATGCAGACACACACATTCTTACTAACACCAAGTGGAGGAATGCACTAATAGTGCCTGCTCACAGAGTGGAGGGAGTATTTGCCTCAGCTCTTGTGCAGCCTCACACTAAAATGACAGTGAAAGTATTCTAGATAATGAAGGGGGCATAAATGCTTAATGATAAAGACAACTGCAGAAGAGAATACAGTCAATTTTGGAAGATGGAAAAAATTAAAGGATTAGTAAGGGATTCAAGTGTCCAGGAAAGAATCTTAATGAGAGGGAAAAGCCAATTGACTGATTATTTTTACTCCTAGTAGTCCTGCTAGAAGCAATATGAAAAACTGGTTACAAGGATTTTAGACAACAGGGCTAGGAGCACATGAATTCGTTGAAGTTTACATTTCTCTCTTAAGGGACACAAATAAATAATCATCCCTTCTACACCAATCCAAAAACCTGAAGATTTTTTCCTCTGGAGTACTTAAGACAAAGGATATCTGACACATTTTATAAGTGAAAAAAGGCAGCATATTAAAAATGAAAGGTGAGGGCTGATGAGATAGCTCGGTGGACTAAGTGCCTGCTTTGGCAAGCACAGGGACCAGGGTTCGATCCCTGGTCTGCAACCCACCCCTACCCCCAGGCATGCTGAGCCGGGGACTGAGTCTGGGCATGGGGGCACACGCCTGTAACTCCAAGTGCTGGGGAGGCGGAAAACAGGAGGATCACTACAAGTCTGAGCTGTGTAATAAGACCCTGTGCCTAATACAAGAAGAAGAAGAAGGAGGAGGAGCAGAAAGAGCAGGAGGAGGAGAAACAGGAGGAGCAGGAGGAGGAGGAGGAGAAAAAAGAGAAGGAGGAGGAGGAGAAAAAAGAGAAGGAGGAGGAAAAGGAGGAGGAGGAGGAGGAGGAAGAAAGAAAGAAAGAAAGAGAAAGAGAGAGAGAGAGAGACAGACAGATAGGGAGGGAGGGACAGAGTGAGGTGGACCTAGTGGTGCATGCCTATAATAGTAGATACTAGTAAGCCTGAGGTAGGAGGATCTCAAATTTGAGACTAGCTTGGGCAACTAAACGGAACCCAATCTCAAAACAAAAATACAAGCAAAACAAAAAAGGGATGCAGCTCAGCACTAGAGTACTTCCCTAGTATCAGTAAGAACCTAGATTCAATCTCTAGCAACTG